TACTGCACTGCCTGTATCAAAATTGGACATACACCAACAAACAACAGTGTGAATGGGAGTATGAGAACCGTTATTATCAATTTAATTAAAATAATAAAAATAAAATTTCTTTTTCTTTTCTTTTCTTTTCTTTTAATAATAATACGACTTGATTTAGTAGTAATTTATTTGCTTTCATGCCGGTCCACAAGGAATTCTTAATCCCCAAAGCCAAAATGCACACAGGAATTTGACCTATCTTCAGCCACTAGTCTAAATTTCTCTCGGTCTCGGTTTGATGGGACTTGGTCAATGTTAATATGCAAATAGTGACACTGCCTGCCGAGCGGAAGTGAGGGGCCTAGGGCATGGAACGCAGAACGGAGCTCCGCCGGTGCGCCAGCCAATCAGAAACGAGGATGTAATTCCAAATGCGCAGCTACGTTTGGCTGCTGCCTGCGAGCAACAGCGACGACAGACAGAGAAAGTGAAGGCGCAGACCTACCCACTTCCAAAAACTCAGCCTATTCTGGACCGCGTTCAACTTAACCACCAAAAGCTATCCAAAAAGACTGACTTGCAGAGGAAGGAAGATAAAAAAATATCAGAGGTGCTCGCTGAGTTGATTTTGCCGCCTGTCTGCCAAGAATTCTCTTCCGGTATTCATTTTTGTAAGCACTACAACGTGAAACGAAAAGAGAGAGAGAGAGAGAAAAAATAAAAAGCACATTTTTTTTTTAACTTGAGACATGTGAGCGTACCGGCTTCAGTTTCATCCGGCCTCCAGGAACCCCCTTCAATTCCATGCAATACAGTGCAATGGTACGTTACGATGGAAAACACTGTCTTACTAACGTTTGTGAATATTTTTCTCGAGTTGCTGTGTTGCGCGTATGTAACCTCAAAAGGGCAATAGCATTACGTTTCACAGTTGAAATGAACAAGACACTTTAAAACTGCAGACAAAATGATAGTACTGTTGGATTGTTTATGTCATGCATTGGCAAACGTCCCATATGGGTCATATCATTGTGTCAGAAGTCGAGTTTGTGCCTCTTGGCATGCATCCTATGTTCGCTAAAACTCTCCCCCAGAATAGCATTGCACTTCTGGCACGGAGCAGCAGCGCGAATACCTGGACAAGTCGTGTTGATATACTCACACTGTTCTCCTGTCATTTAAATGCTTGTCTCGCACTGTTTTACGTAACGGCACTTGCTGTGTCTATTTTTTACATTGCATCAACTGTTTTCTTTCGACAAATGATACTTTATATCTAAGAAACGTTGCGTTATGTACACGTCGATGTTTGTCTGCAGAATAGTTTACGTCCACAAACCGATCCATTGTTTTACCATTAACATGTTTGGAGTTTGTTGCGTTGCGCTTTTGTTGCGGTCCATTGTGTTACATTTTAGTAATTTATTCAGTCTTCTCCATCAAGTCATTGTTGAACGTTTTGGACTTATGAGTTGGACGGAGGGGGTGGGCTTTGGCTTTGACTTTGACACAAGATGCCGATGTAAAGCGAAAGGAATCATTATCTGTCCACAAACAAACTGGCCCTGTACTACCGCAGACTTTTCTCCTTTCTCCCAAAATTAAACTGTTGTTATGTGGTAGTACTTTTAAATCGCACTGAAATCACAGTGTGCATTTGTGATATAATTCATTTATTCAGTTTTGACTTCTTTTGCGAACGCTTCAGGCCCAAACTTGCATTCGCATCTGTAATAATCCATGCATTTCCAAGCGTATGATGTAATAAAAGAGCCTTGATGTTTTAAAAGTAATGTCCTATCTCTGTACTGGTTTGTAATAGCTGATAGTGAAAGTAAACTTAAACCAATGTCGCAAAGTAGTCAAAAATTACTTTCGTTGTTTACCCTGATCATATAAGCAATTTTGTTTTTTATTAAGACAGTGACCTGTATAAAATGTAGCTAATCAAAGTCAAAGGCATATTTATAATTCAAATTCAAATGTATAGCCTATTGGCTAACTAAAGCAATAGGCTATATGGACGCAAAATAAGATCAATGAATAAGCTTTATCTATTTGTTGTTTCTTTATTGTGAACAGATATAAATGGCCTAAATTGTTTTACTTTGTAATGGAAGAAACCAGAAAAAACCTTTACATACTGTATTGTGCTCGCACGCTGTGCTTTATCGTGTTTCATAGTTCTACATGCCTGCCTGAAGTGCTTGCCACGAAAAATAATGACACTTGTAAAAAGTGGGAAATTGCTTAAATCGTTGTCAGTGTCACGGAGGTGCAGTCGAGGTGGGCTGGAAATATGGGATATGCGCTTGCTGGAAGAGGAGGAGTATGACTGTGTAATTAAAGGCGAAAAAAATCTTCAGACTGATTTGTTAGGCTCCAGCAGACTAGAGGGTGTTACCGGCTCATATTATATCAAGTTTGAAAAGCAAACACATGATCAGAAATTAGGCGCCTTCAAGTTTTCTTATTGCACGTGCGATATATTATTTAAGATTCCTCTTTAAAACTCAACTCTCAGATTCCGGTAGCTTTTTTCTCCGCGGCGGGTTCACCTCAAGCGCTGTGGATGCGTCTTCACTCCGTTTACAATCTTTTGTGCTCTTAAACAGCGGTCAGGCTCGGTTAAATACCAAGTGTGGGATCTCCAGTTGTTGTCTGGTGCCGGATAAGAGTGTGTGTGTTTTTTTTTTGAATGAGGATATCAGGTCTTAGTCAAACGTGCACCGAGCAGCACGGGCTCTGAAGAATGAAGCGATAATATCAATCATCTGTGATACCCTTCAGGACTTTGAATAACAGCGCGATCTACGATGTATTCGCCGATTTGTCTCACACAGGTATATTATGCATTTTTGAATTATCACTCTGTAGGTGATTTCTGATACTTTTTTTATCCACATTATTCTCTGTGCTTTGATTAATTGAAGAACTGCTGCAGTTACATAGTCTATATGCGCATTTATTGTACACTTCCCTCTTGTCTTTTCAAGTATCGTAGTTCAACAACTTCTTCGACGTCGTGTCTTACAAAAGGCATTTAAGAAAATCGATGCATTGAAACATAGCCTATCTGCAACCTTTAAGTAACACTCCTAAAAATAAAGATTCAAATTAGAACGAAGAAGCCGTTTTGAAGAACCTTTTTAAATTCAGTAAAGAACATTTACTCTCTAGTTCTTGAAAACCATCGACGTACTGGTACTTTAAAATACCCAAAATCAGTCCCTAATCTGACAAACCTATACATAATGTACAATAACTTTTTTTAAACTTCACAGAGCCATATAACCAATTTACACAGCGAAACATTGAAGAACTCTTTTTACGAGTGCAGTAGATTTTAAATTTAAAGCAGTTTTATTTGAAGTATCCAACTGGACATTCAATTTGATGTAGGTTAAAGATTGGGTGATGTGATACAATGCGCACATAACCGAGACTATGTTTACCTTATTAATCTCTGAACAGACCAGTGTTCACATAAAGTTGATCTAATTTGATGTCGTCCGTAAATTACTCAATTTATTTTGCTATAGAAATGAACTTGATTAAACAAAGCAACTTTATATGAGGTGAACAACAGGGAGATATCTCAATACTGTTAATCTCAACTGTTAATTTCAAACGCGAGGTTAGGACAGTGAATTTGAATTCACTTTTGAAGAGCTCACTGTTTAGCCTTACCTCCAACTAAAGAAAACGTGCTTTAGTTTGAACTGGGAGATCCTCTCATAGAGTGATTTAAGATTAAAACAATGATAAGGTTGATTCAGCGGTTGGACAGAGTCCGCCGGCTTTGGCTGACACAATTTTACTGTTTATATTTTCCTTGGCATCAGAGAGTGATTGACTGAGATATGGTGAGTACAGAGGACCTCGAGCCTGCGCAGCCCACAACCTCGTGTTACACTTTTAAAATCCTTGTGATTTTTTTCTTCAAGACATTTCTTAATATGGTGATATGAGACCAGTTTGCATAACTACTACTATGACAACAGATAAATGCAATGTTTTAATTTGACATTACGTTTACTATGATTTTAATGTTACATCGTTATGTCGATACATCGATATGTGATCTTGCAAGGCCTCAGTATAAATTCAAATGCAATATGAAAAAAATAGTAATGAAATAGTAATGGATTCTTTGCAGTCAAATAACATTTTTTTCTTGTCATTAAATTGATAGTAGAACAAAACCGATTGAATGAATATCCTTTTTGCATATTGTCTGTATTGTTATTTGACTGTGTCTATTTTTCTTGAGTGGACACTGCAGTGTGCATTTGGTTGTAATAGAATTTTCATAACAAACTACAGATTTACAACAGTTTTACACACACACACACACACACACACACATTATATTAAGTTAGCTATAATAATAATAATAAACTAGCTTTAAATAATATGTCTGATCTGATTTGTTAGGAAATTAGCACTTTGAATGTATTTGAGTTTTTATACATTCCAGGACTACACCAGATAGTGTGAAAACTTACACTCTTCAGCGAGTTACATTTTTCTTGAGCAACACACACTATTGCACATTGTCACGTGATAGATTTCAAATACATTTCAAAGTTGTGTAGTTTGTTTGTATTTATACAGTGGTTGAGTGTGGGCTATGTGTGTGGGGCTGTGACTGAAATACAGACAGTGGTGTGCTGGTTGTGGTTTCCCAAAGAGCTGCCGCCCGCCTGCACACAGAACGATATGTGGTTTAAATCTTCTTAGATCCATTCACTGCAGTCCTTGTTCATATTTCAATGTGGCGGCGGAAAAATTACAGAGAAGTTTGCAGAGTGTGTGCATAAAGGTGGTCTTCTCTTTTTCATTGTATTGAGATTATCACACATTGCTCTCATTGTATTTTTACCTCTTAAACCTTCTTGTCCTTTAATACGAATTTACAATGCTTATGGAAATTTTGACTGTAAAAGAACAATATTTTTTTCTTGTATTAAAAATTATAATGTGGACTCAGAAAGTGGTGGTATTTGTCTTTCGGTGTTTAGTGTGAAAAGTTATCCTGTTCTGTTTTATATTTTTAAACATGATTGAAATTGCTCGGTAATATTAAATCATTTTCTTTTGCTGAGATGATGAGGAGATTAAATGTGTGGAAAAAAACTGAGCAAATGTTACTCAATGGTCTGTAAAATTGGCAACTGTGTTTGCTCAGTTTGTAGTGTAAAGCTATATAACAAGTTGAGGCATATGAAGACAAAAAGCCTTACGCTGAATAAGGCAAGTGTGAATTAGCTGTGCCGCTTGTTTGAGGAGTCAGGCCACTTTGGTTTTGGTTTTGGCATTTTAATGCCACATTTACCCAAATGGATCTGAGGCCTGAAGAATGTGACTTTTTTGTGCCAAGATGCCATTTTCATTGTCCATCTTGGTTTGATTTTGGAGGGCCTTGGAATAATTGTGGTACATTAATGCTAACAAATTAAGTGATTCCCAAGGACCGCAAACACCTCCTCATAGTTAAGAGTAAAAGCTGAAGGTGTAAAATAGATTTTTTCCCCCCGCCGCTTTTTTCACTTTCCCATGTTTAGTTAAAAGCTTTAACCAATACTTCTGACCTTGGGTATGTTTGTACTCTCATTTTAGACAAAAGACATGTTTCCATTTGTCTTGATGTCTTTGTGAGTGTGGTGAATGATCGTGCCCTCAGCTGTCCCTGTCTAAGGCATTTAGTGATTCGTTTTTCCAGGATTCTAAGAGGTTCTGCAGGGCTCTGTGGTAGGGGCTGTTTCAGGAATGCAGGGCACTTTGATAAGAGATCTGGAAGTATGGGGATGCATGCTCTCCTGTGCCAACACACGGACTGGTGCTTTGAGCATGGCTGGAGAAGGAGAGCGAGTGAGTGAGAGAAGGGGGTTAGAGAGAGAGAAGGGGAGAGAGTGATTGGTGATTCTGGAACTGTCTGCTCTACGCTGGCACGGCGCGGGCAGACGCAGTAAACAGTGGCATCCTTTTTCAGCGTGCCTTCGACACCTGCAGGCAGGCCAGCGTTGCCTGCAATCGCAGTGGAGATGGTAGATAAACGTGTCATGTTGATGCTTTCAAATCTCATTTTTAAATAACTTTAGTGCTTAAAAGTTCTTTAAAAGCAGGAAATGGAATGCTAGAGTTAGAAAAATATATTTGGTACTGGTATTTGTAACTGTAACTCTGTTTAATGCTTTTTCTGGACCATTAAATGGTCATTTGTATAACTTTTATCTACTTATAAATGATTTTTATGTGAAAGGATTTCTAAACCGCTTTTTTCCTCTTTCGTTTCTGGCTACATGGGCTGTTGGCTAATTCAAACGGGAACCCATGCCAAAAGGTCACTTCTGCTCCTGCTCAATTTTTCTCCTTTTTCCCTCCCTCTCTCTTCTCAGGATGAGTTTCATCCCTTCATCGAGGCACTGCTCCCTCATGTCCGTGCCATAGCCTACACCTGGTTCAACCTACAGGCACGAAAGCGCAAGTACTTCAAGAAGCACGAAAAGAGGATGTCCAAGGATGAGGAACGGGCCGTGAAAGATGAGCTGCTCAGCGAGAAGCCTGAAATCAAACAGAAATGGGCATCCCGTCTCCTGGCCAAGCTGCGCAAGGACATCCGGCAGGAGTACCGGGAGGACTTTGTGCTCAGTGTAACGGGCAAGAAGCACCCGTGCTGCGTTCTCTCCAACCCCGATCAGAAGGGCAAGATCCGCCGAATCGACTGCCTGAGGCAGGCTGACAAAGTGTGGCGGCTGGACCTGGTGATGGTCATCCTGTTTAAAGGTATTCCGCTGGAGAGCACAGATGGGGAGCGTCTAGTCAAGTCCCCGCACTGCACCAACCCGGGACTTTGCGTCCAGCCCCACCACATCACTGTCTCGGTGAAAGAGCTGGACTTGTTTCTGGCATACTACGTCCAGGACCAAGGTGAGTCTGATGAGAGGTTGGGAAATAACATTTGTTGAATTTAGGTCCTACTCTTAACTAGCAGATTGAAGGGTGTAGAGACAAAATAAAATGAATGTAATTTCCAGTTGTTATGTACATAAGACTAAGGGCATACATTTCTTGTGTTACATGCAAGAAAGTTTCAAAAAGATCTAATTTGGTACATTTAAATAGTATTAAACTGGTTGTATTAAAATATTTTACATTTCACAAATTTGTTGGCATATAAAAGTGACAAATATGTCAGCATAATTCATATAAACATATAAATTTCCCTCATTATATAAATATATGCTAAACATATTTCCTAAGGTGGAGAATTTCTGCAAATGGCACAATTACACAATAACATTCTAATATAAATATTTTTTGTGTTTTTAAAAATGTCTCTCTTGTTTGTTTTTATTGTCAAGTTCCCAGCTAGATTTGTTCTGGTAATTTTCACAGTTATTTAACTCTCTTGCTTTTCTTCTTTTGTTTGAGTACTTGTTTATTTTAGCAACGTAAAGGGAAAATTAAGTCGGCACACTTACATGTACCTTCACATTTATTCATTTAACATGCACTTTTATCCAAAATGATTTACAAATGAGGAATGCTGCCACTTAAACTATTCCTTGTATTTCCACTTTTAAGGGGTTTTCTGTTTCAGAAGAATTTCGACGTTATCCATATTTTGTTATTTTAATAATATCAAAATGTTGCTTTTGTGACTCTGAATGTTTCACAAAGAGTTGGTTTATCGTCAGGCACGGCACCTCCATTTTGTGAAACTGAAGTGCCAGGGTAAGCAGAAGGCAGAGTGGAGGCACAATAATGGTTGCCACTGGCACCATGGTTGGCATCAGAATCTCTTTTGTGTCTTTGTAAGATGGCGTGCATTCGCCTGTTGGCATTCACACGGCAACCTAAATCTCTCATGCACTTAATAGACCATAGCCTCTACTTTTGTTTATT